TGTTCCGCGATGAAAACCAGCTTTAAGCAACGGCGTAGTCAAACGGTACATCCTCGGTAAGTAATCCTATAATTTTTTGTTTATAGCATAGTTTATACAGATTATTCCCAAAAAATTATACGTATTTTGGAAATGTTGAGTGGAATTAGTCTAGAATTGGTTAATTTTATAGAAGAAAACCTTTCGAACAGTCTTAGTCCGTAAAGTTCCCACCTATCGGGCTGCGATTAGCTCATGTATTTAATCATTCCTACAACGTAATTTTCAGTTAGCGTGGAACGTATCTAAGTGTTATAGGGGGGTCTACTGTATTTGTCTTATGTAGACATAAAACTGCACAGTGTAATTGGCATTTTCCCCTTCAAAATCTGCATAAAATATTGAGAAATTCTATACAAAGCCCATTATATTCTATTAAGTTATATTCCATTATATTACAAAGTCTATTAAATTCTATTACAAAATTCATATAGATTCTATCTTCAACAAGTTTCTAAAAAGACAGTATGAAGTGAGTCTACCATAATAAACACCAATATTTTAAAGTTTTTTTTAAAACTAAATAGCAAAACCTTCAATAAATCACATTTATATAAGTCAAGTCTGGAAAATAAGTTAAAACATACCAAATTCTTTAGAAAGAATAATATAAATTAAAAGTTTAATAATGAACTAATTTTTTAAAATATTAAATGGAATTATTTATATTGTAATTTGATTTGATGAAACATTTAATATTATCAGCTTTTCATAAAATATTAAAACTTTTTATTTTTATTTTGTTAACCAAGTGGCAAATGAGCAGTCAAACATGTTCAAAGGAGAAAATAATAATAATAATAAGCCAAATACAGTAAAGCCCCAAAAATATATTTTGAAGTTTATAGTTTGTACAAGAGTGCAAGCACTAAATATACTCTATTGGCAACCTTTCTCTTTCTGGAAGCAGGGGTGGCAGAAATTGGTCTTGCCTCAGATGCAGGTTACCATCAAGATAGTACTGTATCTAAAAATTATTTATATTAGTTTATATCTTTAAATAATGTTCTGATTATTTAAAATCTGTTTGACTCTCCTATCATCTGACTTGTATCTGAAAAAAAATCCTTGAATAAATAGATGAAAGTATTTGTATTTCAAGCAATAATCTTTGTGTGAGCCCGAGGGGATTGAGTTCGAAAATTTTTAGGGTTAACATATTTTTTCATTAGCGGACGGAGAAAAATATAACGGAAATAGATCGGATGTGGAATCTTACACATCGTCCGTTTGTTAATTAGTCAACGTGCACGTGCTAATTAGTCAGCATAACGAGTGAACGACCTGTTGGCTCAGTGCCAACGACGATCGTATAAAAACGATCGTCACAGGAAGTTCTGGGCGATCGTCCCCTCAGTGCGACCGTCCCTCCGCGCGATCCTCAGGAAAGTCTGAATACAGTGTCTCCCGTCCCGATCCTGTCCGAGGAGAAGCCGGTAGAAGACATAAGCCTGTGACAGACGGCCAGCTTCCATAGTCCAGAAGGATCGTCGCATACTGTCCTCCGACATAAGGTATAACTGACCGCTACTATAACTCTCTTTGTAAACTCTCACGCGGCATAGTGAATAGTTACAGCTCCCTTATAGATAAATTTATGTTATCCGCATCTAAATTATAATCAGTAAGTTGTATACTCCTGTAAATTACTTTAGTTATATAATAAACCTTTATTTTGTTATTTGTTAAACCTGTCTCCTGTTTATCCGAGGAAACCTGTTGACTAACCGACGCACTCCCCACTCGGTTTTGCCCTCCTAGCCATCCTACGACTCCGAGATCGGGCTTTACCAGCCTGTGCAGATTAAGTGGTCAGTACGAGATTGACCCCTGATCCACTGCGTATCTCACATTTGTTTGTTTTTATTTGACAATCAATATAATGAAAAATGAATTTGATTACTGACATCAGTGTGCAGACTTTATTACAAAATTGATTTTTGATGTAGAAGTTATAAAATTTTCTAGTAGAAACTGTCAAATTTTTTCACACTAATTTATCATAGTAATCAACTTAAGATTTTTCTTTCTTCATCTAAATTGTATCCAATTTATCATAATAAATTATATAATGCTAGTCAAAAAGTATTTTTATGAATTCTAGTAAACCATAAAAGTCTTGAATAGAAACAATAATATCATAGATTTTTATAAATAATATCACATATATATATCAACTTGAAAGCAATAAAAAAATGAATAAATACATATTTCACTCTGAGTCATTACAAAAAAATAATTTGTTAGATTTTAAATAAGAACTAATGTCAGAAAATTTAGAATGTCTATGTAAATAACTAGAAAAATACAGAATCAATTATACAATACAGCACACACTCATTAATTTGAACAAATTTTATGGTTAAATTTTTTGCCTAAAGCCATAAACAAAAAGAAATCATGGTTTAATTTTTTAAAAGCCTGTCAAATTTTTCTATAGTTATTTTTGACTTGTTTTTTTTTGTTTACAACCCCACTAATCTCAACAATCTTGTATAATAATCAGTTCAGATTAAGGTTCTTGAATTAACAGATAAAAATAAAATTTATTAAAATTTACTTGAAAGTAAGAAGAAAATAGTTGAGCAATTTCAGAATATGCATTTTTACTGTGTTCTTTGGGACTACCATCAGTACAACAACATAATACTTTCATCCTGTAAGAGAATAATAATTCTTAATTAACAACAAAATATATCACACTATTTCAGTTTCAAATTATAATTAATATATTAACATTACCGAAATTCCCAAAGTTGCTTTGATTTCTCAACTTCTGTTGAATTTAAATTAATGTAGAGAGCCTGTGGATCATTGCGATCAATATCCCTTATTTTGCTTCCACTTCCATGGATTTTAACTGCACCAAGTGGATCAAAGACAATCAATATTTTCCCTACAATGATCAGCAAAAGACACCAAGAACCTATTACAATAATCTGAAATAAATAATAAAAGAATGATAAGTAATAGCTGAATTAAAATTTCTAAATAATAAATTATATAAAATAATTTAATTTTAATTTTATGTAATGGAAGTTAGTAATTAGTAAATTTATCATTCTAAACTAATTGAAGACATAACTAATATAACCATTACTATTTATAAACAATATTTATTGAAACAATTCAATTCTCAAGCAATTTAAATTAAGACTTTTGTTTAATACAAATTCAGTAATAGGAAAATATTATTGATTTTAATATTTACGTGTTAAGATATTTAACTCAAATATTTTATTTCAGCTAAATTTGAATTATTTTACATGACTTATAAATTTTCTCTTTCTATATGGTTTTTATCAGTCTCAAAATTACACTGCATTAATTTTAAAACTTTTTATTTATTAAAAAGACACAGTCGTTTCCAAAAATTTTTTTTGGAAACGACTGTGTCTTTTTAATAAAAAAATATTTATCATCCAGCAAAATTTTAAAATCTAAAATTTTTGTAGAAAAATTGGAAAAAGCAATATGAGAGTCTAATTTCCCAAGTTAAAAATTTTTCATCATTCCTAAAATCTATAAAATATATATCTATGTTAAGCCATATGTGGGTCCTCCAAAAAAATTCTACCATTTTAAATTATTGTAATTATGTTAATTATTATCTGAGAACATTGAAATATATATTAAAACATTGAAAAACTGTCCAAGTTTCACATCTGTCCATTACAATTCTTCAATGTGTGCACTTTGTTTCACATGGCACTCATCCAATCAATACTCAAATTCTTCCTAAACTCACTACAACATCCATTGTCACTCCTCCCATAGCAGCCACACTGCTATAGAAGTGATTCTACATTCTACAGCTCTTGCAGATTGCTTGTGTTGCACAATGAGGAGTGATCCAATTTTACGAATGGCAAAACACAAAATATCTTCTCTATTGCAAGATTCACCATTTTCATTTACAGTGCTTTTTAGAGGTAATATATGACATGTTTAAATGCAGATGGGAGATGAAACTTGAACAGTTACTCTATTGATTGATGTACATTGAATACTTCTTGAATTATAATTAGCATAATTACAGTAATTTAAAATAGTAGCATTCAGTTTGGAAGACCTAAGTGTTATAAAAATTAAAAACATATTAACATTCTCCAGTGCTGGCCTGAGGCAAGTTTTAGGATGGAGCGAGATCCTATTACGGCACTCCCCTTGGTTGCCCTTAATTTATACTCTTTAATTTTCTTTAACACTGAGGCACCCCCTAAAACTTAGCACCTGGAGTGGCTGCTCCGTTCGCCCTATGGTAGGGCCGGCTCTGATATTCTCTCTCAAAGAGATGTGACATATGCCAATGTAATAAGGATTGCCATTTCTAAACTCATTAATGTAAATACATGTCTTCCTAGAAGTTTAAACATGCCAAGACAAATCAAGAGTTGATTGATCAACCATCTGTCAGTGTCATAAAATGTATATATATTCTACGTGTTTTATGAAATTGAGAAACTCATCCACATTTATAAATCTCAACAGGCATTATAATGTAAAAATTTCAGACTAAACATAAAACAAGAAATTATTTTATTGAAATTGAAGCATAGTTTTCAATAAATTCAATAAATTGAAAAATCCATAACCTAAAAACAATTCAATCCTAAAGTTAAAATTAAAAAAAAAAAATCTAAGAATTCTAGTAAAGTTATTGTTAATACTCTAATAAAGAGGGGCTGCCTGTTTTTGCAAACTTAGTCCACTAGGAAGAAAAGGGGCAAAGAAAAGGTTGAAGGTTCTAAAGGGAGAAGTATAATGGAAAAGGGGAAAAGTAAAGGTGAAAAAAAGTTCTTAGGACCTCATCAGAAATTATTAATAACCAAAATTACAACAGTTGACAAAACCGTTATACAATATTATCAATTGCAAGAAAAGGTCCAGTTACAAGTAGTATGCAAAACCCATCACTTATGGGTAGGAAATTAACAACCTTGATCACTGCAAGGTTACAATATTAAAAACTGATTACAATTTTAATATGCAGACAATGTAAATATTAGCTCACAATTGTGAGATTCGAATAGTCCCTGGGTCTAATTAACAATTTAAATATAAAGTTACAATTTTGAAGTAAAATATTCTTTCATTTTGGTGTGAAAATATCGTTTTTCTAACATGAGAAAACTGATAAAACAGCCACTTACTTTAATGGAAGTAGACACATCCTTTTGTTTTCCAGTTATCTATCACAAATCTCACCACCCTGGGAATTGTCGACCCCTCAATAATTCCCCTTTCCCTCCATTCACGTGAGAGAATACAAATATGCTGATTGGTCACAAATCATGAGACATAGTCAAAGATCTCCATGATTCGGGGAGTATGTCAGAAGATCTCATAGAGGAGAGACGTAGTCCATACAGTTTCCCTAAGGCCAACGCCTTTAGTTGTATCCAATTGAGTATAAAAATGAGTTAATTTAAAAGAAGAATCAATTTAATAATGTGACAAATCAAGACCTCTTCATGAAACGAGGTATGATCATAGAATACAGATGAAGATAAAGACAAAGTACCCCTTGAGGTAGTATGATTATCAATGAATTTGTGAGCTCTCTCTCTCGACGTGTATATTTTAATGGAATCCATATTCTCTCTCCATTGGTAATATTTAATCATTTAACATTTCAATTTTGTGTAAATTTGGTTACTTTTGTCTTATTAAATTCTATTATTATTTGTTAAAAAAAAATGTTTCTTATTCAATATCTGAATCAAATCCATATTATCTCCATACGTGTGTTAATCCGTGTAACGGTAAATTGATTAACTGGTGTCGGGATCCTGACTAGAGAACGAAGGATTGTGAAATTCTTTAGTCTCGCTTTAAATTTAACGTTCGGACTGTAAGTTCCTCCGCCCCCGATTTTCCTTGAATTAGGAAAAGCCATTCTTGTAGACAACCCGAGAACTAGTTTTACCAACTAGCCACCGAATAAGTGGTACCAACAATCCTAGAGGAAAGGTATCCCCGGTTAATCTCACACAATGATATAATAATACTGATTATAATTTCTATTTGCAGAGAAGGTAAGTGATTTAAGTTATTCACAAGTTCCCTGACAATTGATAAGTTAACATGCCAAACATATATAACTGACATGAGGATGACTACACCATTCTAATTACAGTAACTAGAACATAGAAATGTTGATTAATGTTTTTTACAGGTTCACTGGAATATGACAAGTTAACATATCGAACACTACCAACATTAGACTGTAATTTATCAAACCAATTACAGTACTAAACATAAAATAATGTGTACAGTATAAATAATAATAAAAATAAAAACATAATAATGATTCCCAGGTCTATTTTGGTAACAAGTCTGCCTCTGGTTGGAACCAGAGTCGAATGGTAAGGCAAAGTCAGAGTCGGTAGATTTTTACACAACTTGACAGCCCTGATACACACATACATACTGTGGCATGACACAATTTATTCATGTATAAATTTTAAGTTATGTTATTTTCATTTTCTATCACTTCCCTTTCCTAGCCTATCAATTTCCCTTTTGTTCTTGATTTTCCTTTGTTTCCGAGTTCAAGAACTTTCCACCCATGCCCTACTTCTGTAGGTGTGAGCATTAGACAATAGAGTGGAGAAAACCCTGAGAGCAAACATCAGTGTAGTCAGTACTTTTTGGTCAAGTTTCCAAGGAAAGCAGATGTGTAGAGGATGAGCTCCGGGCTTTGAGTGGCATCAGAAGCGACAGAGTACAACTGCTAAGATATGGTCACCAGTGAGTCCTGAGAATTGAAACAGGAAATCTTGTTCGGAAGACCAAAAGAAAAGTGAACTAGTGACAACTAAGAGCTGCCTCAAACTACAGGAAGTGGGAACTAGCATACACTCGGTCGTGCTCCAAAAGCCTTGCCTTTTTTCCTCCACGAGGCTACAAGCCATTTTTGCTAGGTAAGCTACACGGGCATGAAGTAGCCACAAACTACACAACGTTTGCTTGCGTAAAAGTGCTGCATCATGGGAGATTAGTGACTAGTGTTGCCACCAGGCCGGTTATTAAATTCATGGTCTGGATCAGTGCTGCCATTTCTAGGGTAATTTCGACCTCCCATGGTACTGTTTAGGGTAGTCTTATATTTAGGGTAAATCTGCCCTGTGATCTGATGCTTTTATTGTAAAAGTTTTTATTGTACACTTGTAAAAGAAATCTATGCCAGATTTGATTTCAGTAATGACATTTTTTCATATCTGCTTTCGCTCGAACCTGAAAATTCGCAAAATTTAACAGTGAGGTTTTTGGAGCCATTGTTTAAAAGTTTAAAAATGTTAAGGTCGATTTACAATTTGTAGACAATGAATGGCGTAAACAAGCCCTACTTAACTTGGGGTCAAAAAGTCATACTGTCAGAAATATTTAATTTAAAAAATGCTGCTGGAGAGTTTGTTTCAAAATCCTGAAAAATTGTTGAGTTTATTGATGATATTACCAGCTTCCAATGCATCTGTTAAGCAAATATTTAGTCAGCTACGTTTGTTGTAAGACATTACATAGACATTCTTTGAAAACTGAAACGATTTGTAACCTAATGCATGCACAGTCTGGTATTAAAAAATATTGTTTCATTTGAACCTTCAAAACAAATGTTAAAATGCAAATATGTATGTAAATACAATAAATGATTTTTAAAACTGATCATTTACATATTAAAGTATGCTTGAAATCAAGTGAATGGCTTATTTAATTTTTTATTTCAGCTAAGATGCATAACACATGTTGAAAATGAATTAATTAAAATTAAGTTAAATTCATTAGACTATTGAATATATTTTATTACTTAAAAGACCATTTTTCTCATTTGTCAAATTGGGATTACCAAAGTAAAATATCAATTATCTCCATATCAGATGTAAATTAATACAATAATAAAATAAAATAACTTACTGGAATGTAATTAAAATAATCAAACCAAAATAGTAAGGTGGTTTGATTATGTAAATTAATACCTCTGATAAAGCCTAAAAATCCTAAGACATTTTAGTTATTAAGATTTTAAAAACAATGAATTAAGAATTGTTCCGATTATTATTTTATGATAATAGTACAGGGATCTGCATCATAGAATCATTCTTCTTATTTTTTTTTAATCTGAGCACGAGCTCAATGATGGTCGAGCTTGGAAAGTTTTCTCAATCTAGGATAATCTGGGGTAAAACAGAGGTGCCGTCAGGGTAGTTCCACCAGAAGCAGGCGGCAGCACTGATTCAGATTAATTACAAGTGATGTTGATTTTGTGTTTAGAAGCTAAAAGCTCTCTTAATTGTGTTAGTGTGGAATCCCTCTTGTTTTTTTTGTAGTAATCTACATGTCTTGGATTCCACTGATGTAAATTGGCTATAGAACAAAGATTTCATTATAACCCTAACTAGTTGGGTTTAACTATCTGAAAATATTTATGTACAATGTTTATATTATTTTCTTTTCAATACTGAATGTATTAATCATATAATTTACTTACATCGATAAAATTCTATTATTTCTTTTTCAATGCTTGACAACATGTTCATGCAGTAATCCATCTTCCCTGCTCTCTCTTGCTAGCATGACTGCTCTAATCTGTTGAATTCTATCAACAGCAAGCATATGCTCGCATCGCTGCGCTAGCAAAGAAAAAACTGCGCGACCATAAAGAAAGTGGCGGAGCCTTTGACGTCATCGGATGTGCTAGTGCATGTTTGCTAGCGTTTTTGCTCTCGCAAAGTGCTAGTTTGCAGCGGCTCTAAGAAAGAGGATACATATACCAGTGAAATTCAGGAGAACTGCAAAGGTATATCTGGTCCATTTCATCATATGTGAAGCGACAGATACCCCTTTTCTAAGACCTCTTTCTTCATAAAGCTCTCTCTCCCTATCTAACTTCTCTTCCCTCTTTTAGCATTAATTAGAGTAAAAAACATAGGTTGTAAGGTAGTTTTAAGTGCAGCAGATCTTTGTGTATACTTTCGTGATTTGAACCCCACATGTGTGAATCCTGAAAAGTGATTGAGAAGATCCTTTTGTGTAACAATCTTGATTGCACTACAGTCGACCCCCCTATAATTACGGTCCCTATAATTACGATTCCTATAAAACTACGAAAAAATTGTGACCGGTATCCGTAAAAAACAGTAAAAATTCCCTAGAATTACCTCAAACGTCATTGGGCAGCTGAACTACTTTCCTGCCGTCCGTAGCGCCACGCTACGGAGAGATTGCTATCGTCTGGACAGTATTATATAAATTATATATAAATTAGGTACTGTACATATAATTATATATTAATTATATATAAATTAGGTACTGTATATATAATTATATATTAACTTATTGTAACTTTGTTATAATTAAATATATAATTTCCGCCGTCTAGCATGGCGCCACGCTACGGAGATTTTTACGCTAACTATCGTCTGTCAGTATGTAAATTAGGCACCGTAAGTCTAATACAGTACTGTAATTTTATACATTTCTTGTGAAAGAAACATTTCTTATTCAACGGCGATTAAAATTATTTATATTAATGATGTCTCCAAAGTTCAAGGAACTATTTGCAGAAAAATAAGTTATTAGAAATCGGCCGCTGTATGCTGAGCTGTTCCGCGACGAAAACAATGTTGAGCAATGGCGATGTCGAATGGTGACACTCGGTAAGTAATCCTACAATTTTTTGTTTATAGCGTAGTTTATACGGATTATTCCCAAAAAAAATATACGTATTTTGGAAATGTTGAGTCGGATTAGTCTAGAATTGATTAATTTTATGGAAGAAAATCTTTCAAACAGCTGTAGTCCGTAAACTTGATATGTGTCGGGTTGTGATTGGAAGGATTCGTAAGAAATCGGATTCCTAAAGAATGGAACGTATCTCTATCTTATAGGGGGGTCGACTGTATACTATTGTATAAAAGTATTCACTAATAATGCATCAGAGTTGGGACCTGATCTTTTTTTTTTTTTTGTGTTCATACTGTATAAAATAAAGTTTCATTCTTTATGCTATACCTGTTTCTTATTCTCATCGCACTGAACACTACAGTACATAGTGAGCAAAAAAAAGTAATATTGTAAAAAAACCAATAAAATATTTTATTGAGCTTTTACAAACTTTCTTTACTAATATAACATATCAATAAAGCACAAAAATTTAAAAATAAGGAGTAAAACACGTTTTTCTTTTATAAGCATTGTAGGTGTAACTATTTTTTCAACATTAAAAAAAATTACCTTGACTTGAAAATTTTAAGATCTAACTCTTAATTTTAGAATAAGTGAGTCAATTTCAGATTTTGTAGTCAAGAGTCTAAATAATCTTAACATTTTAATTAAATTAGTGCTTTGACTGAAATTTTTAAAATTTTTTCTTAGGACATTTTTCTCGCATCATTTTTGATTATTAAATCTTATAATACTAAATGAATTCCAATTAATTTTGCAGTAATAAAATATTTTAAAATCATAAATAACATATTTATTTTTTAATAAAAGTAAAACAAAAAAAAAACTAGTAATCAAACCTGAACAAGAATTACTACAAAATTAGATTCACAAGCGTGATCTTCCTGAGTGAAGGCCCATTTAGTTCCAAATCCATTTAAGATGATTTGAGGTAAACCCAAAAATATCCTTGCATATAAAAGTAATGGAAGATAATGCCTTGGTTGCACCTAAATAAATTAGACAAAAAAAATAATAATAAATGATTTTATGTAATTTTCAAAAGATAATCTAGGTAAAATATAATAACCAAAAATCAAATAAAGTACCTGAGTTATTGTACCACAAGAACTAACGTATGCAATTGCAGCATTTAGAATAATAGTTGCACCTAGGAGTACTAACAAGCTTATAATAAATATATTAAGATATTGAGGTCCAGAACATGAAAAATCTTTCTGATTTAATAAGAAAAGTGTAATAATGATGACAAAGCTAAATATATATAAAAAAAAATATATATATATATAATTATATATATACGTATATCTCATATTAAAATATATGCATGTTTATATTTACCAAACAATATGTATTCCAAAGTCAAAGAGAGCTGGAAAAACAAAATCATCGCTTCCAATGGCCCAACGTCGACGGAAAGCTATCAATGCCGGCATTTTATATTGCTAAAAAACAAATTTATAATGATAAATACATACTACTAAAATTGGATTAATCAAGTCCAATGTTTGTAACTATATCAGAAATATCCAGCACAAATTATAATTACTAAAAGTAATGAAAAATAAACATTTTCAATGATTTTTAAACAGTCATCTTCATGTTAAAGCCAGTTGAACATCAGTATGAAAATTTGAATGTCACTTTAAAAAACAAATGGAGCAAAAACTTTATTGGTTGGAAAACACCTGAATTTTCATATTGATGTTTGACTGAAGATAATGATTTAAAAATTGTCTAAATTGTGCTGGATTATTTTTGGTATAGTTATGTGCATTGGTCTAAATTTATACCTTTATGTAAATTAAGAATTGTTTTAAGGTTATAAAATTTTGTTGAAATATTTGAATTTTTATATATTAAATCTAATATTTTAATCAAATATTACAAGATAAAAACTATAACAATAATTCAAAGTTTTATTTTTCAAGTTTATTTCAAATAATAGCAATGTTATCTTTATGTGTCATTTATATAATACTTTCTGTTAATTAATGTTCAAAGATCAATGTTTATATCAATTATTTCTATTGACACACTTCTATCTCAATAAAAATATCTCAGATTCGTGAAACATTCCAGTTTTATTTATAACAAAACCTTCACATTAGATATATTCCAGTAAGCATCAGTCGCAGCCAAAACTAATGCACCAGTAAATGGTTTAATAGACTTTTACTGAAACATCTAGCAATCTAACGAAACGGTAGATGCAAACAGCACTATATTGGCATTTGCAGACTTGTTATCAAAATAACTTTGGGTTAGTACAGATGAGTATAAAAATAGTGTTAATAACATAACCACGGAGACAGTAGCTCACCGTATCCACAACTTGAAAAGTATAATATAAATTAGTCATTGCACCAATGAATTCATTGGCAAATATCAAAAAACATTTTAGTATTTCACAGTTCACCAATGCACTGTTCGATGCATAGTGGAATGTATCCATTATCAACAAAAAAAGGCAAAAAATAAACAAACAAGCTTTTTTAACAATTTTTCAAAAATTAGACTTTAGACCAATTTCTGTTAAATAATAAATTTTTACATGAAATTCAGTAATAAATATTTGTTATGCCTTACTTAAATTCTCAGATAAACATGACTTTTATTCACTTCTGAACTAAATTTGTTATAGCTCCAATAGTTGCCACCTTAATATTTATTCTTGAATAAAACAATAACCAATCAATCGTATCTAATAATGAAAGCATTATTATTATTTTGGTTTAAATCTAACCTTTAATTTACATGGTAAATCAATTCTGTATAAGTTGAAACTAACATTCATATGGAAAATGAAACAGATTCCTTAGTTCCATTTTATATCTATACTAATATAATAAAGAGGTAATGTTTGTATGTATGTTAGTTTGTATGCAGCAGGTAATCTCCAAAACTACTCATCCGATTTCAAAAATTCTTTCACCAATATTTAGAATGGAACCTGAGGGTGGACATAGGCTGTCGAATACATGTCGAAATTACCCCATTGGGGGGAGAGGGACAGGATTAAGGCTTACTGTGAAAAACTTGGCTTCTATTATACTATTTTATATGCGGGTTTTTGCGTTTTTGATTGCGTTTTAATAGAGTACATCGACAGAATGTACAGTAAGAAGGGATTTTTCGATATTCCCCCCGCGGGGGAGAGGGATAGGATTAAGGCTTACTGTGAAAAACTTGGCTTCTATTATACTATTTTAGATGCGGGTTTTTGCGTTTTTGATTGCATTTTAATAGGGTACGTCAAAAGAATGTACACTAAGAAGAAATTTTTCGAAAAATTTTCTCCCAGGGGGGAAGTGTTATACATTTATGATAGATACATTTTGAGCCACAACAAGGCGTGGCAGGGTCTGCTAGTTAGTTAATAAAGTCTTTAAAGCTTTATATCATAGACACAGAAAAAAATTTTCTTTTAATCAATTTTATAATGTCTAAGTCTTCTTCACTTAGTTAAAAATCTAATGTTATTTCCAGTACTAACTGCTTCAATCCCAATTTTTTGATTTTTAAAATTTGTTTACCAAAATAAAAATAAACCTTTAAATATCCAGCAATAAAAAAATGTTTAATAAAAACGTTTTCAACCGTTTTAAACGGCCATCTTCAGTTGAAAAAGAACGGTTGAACGTTTAAAACGGTTGAAAACGTTTTTATTAAACATTTTTTTATTGCTGGATATTTAAAGGTTTATTTTTATTTTTATTTTAAATTATTCATTCCAGTATAAGTTCTTGTTGTTTACCAAAGATGAGAAAAGATCATCATTGATGGTCTTATCTCAATAAAACTCAATATTAAAGCTTGCTTTTTATTTCTAGTTAATTGTTTATATGCTTTCTGAAATGAAGTTTTGTTTAATGCATATGGTATGATGTGGAGATTTTGTTTGCCATATTCCTTTGAATGTGTAACTTGAAAGTAGCAGCAAAAAGATTGCATTACTAAAAAGTTAGCATAACCCTAAACATTAATTTTAGCAATAAAAATTTTATGTAAAGCAAAATATTTTTAATTTTTTGACAAAAATCATGTTATTCAAGTACTGTTTGAAATGAAGGTTAAGTGTGAATATCACTTTCAGACGATCAATTAAATAGTTAGTAAAATTATTTGCAAACTAAAATTAAAATTCAATTATTTTCAACAATTCTGCAGGAGAAATTTAATGAATTGTTGCCAAAATTAATTTTTTTAAAATTATCTCAGAAAAACATTAATTAAAAACTATTATATATATATATATATAAACATCTTCTTAAACCTGACCCTGACATTACTGATCAGAGCCAAATGATTGCTGTAAAGTATCAGGCTATTTTTCTGCTACTATTAATAATTAAATTATATGTAATTTGGTATTAGAAATAGGTGTTAGGCACCATCTCTTATTAAATTTAATAATCATAATAAATTAATATTTTGTGAATATGGGGATTCCAGGTTAATCCATTTTCCACATAAAGGATGGTGAATATTAAATTTAGGAAGATTGGTAAGAGCTTTCTTTGTCTGTCTTGACACTACTTAGTCTAGCTTGTGGACAAAGAAGCGATGAAATTAATTTATTTTCCGAATGGTTGAAGATATAAACATTTGACTAGAACAGTAGAAAGGTTTATATTTAAACATTTCTGCTTTAACGTGGACCGACGATAGAGTTAGGCATAAATCAATCTAAATGACAGTTTAGAATACAGCTATATATTTATTATATGAAATTATAACTAAATATAAATACAAATAAGTGACGACTATAATAAACATAAATGATAAGTGCAACAATCAAATAGGAGAGGATATCTAGTTTTAAACCTCTAAATTTATTCCAAGAGAGAGAGTTTACATAAAATAGTCATATTACCTATAGTCAGGCCTTCCAGAGAAAATGTAAAACCCGGGGCAACTAATATTTTAGAGGTCCTTCAAAATTTAAAGTAAAATTGTGGACAAGAAAATAAAGTCAATAGTATTTAATATTTTTTTGGATTATTACATTTAATTATTTTACAGATGCCTTGTGCACTTTAACATTAGCAAATTCACTGATTATTTCAGAATAGTCTAAAATATGCACTATCTGGCAATTAATGTTGAGTGTTGCTAGTCCACTTAATAGTTCCTGACACATTTTTAATTCCTTTCAGAACTCTAAATCATCTCAGCTTTTGCTACACTCACAGGCAAGGTTAAAAAATTTGAAGCAGAATCGTTATATTGGAAAATATGTTTACAAATCCCATGTCAATAATTTCCTTAACTAAATCTGCCAGTTTCGTGCTTAGTTTAAAACTGGAGTTTTAAACATCAGTGGCATGCCGTCATTAGAAGTGGAAGTGCCGCTTCCCTTGTATTTTATAAAAAATAAATACATATTAATTTTAATTATACGAAAATAATCGCACAATATTTTATTATAACCGCATTATGTATCTTATTACAAATTTCTATACTACACGTGGGAAAAAAAAAAAATAAATAAAATTGCTATTGTATATTCGAATATTAGTGGCGGAGTGGAAACTCTGTATTGTCAGATTCCAAAAATCCAGATTTGCGCATGCGCTTTACAGAGCACCAACCTCACCCAGTTTAGCCGGTGGAAGCCTACGACCTTGAGTTGATGCTACACATTCCAATGCTTCCAATTCTATCCGGGAACGGTTCCAGGCCGTTAGCCGCCCGCCCGCTAGATATTTGGCCGATTACGTGAATAACGAGTAGATTTATAACTTAACCTGACCGATAAGAATTTACTGGTATGTTTTTATGATAGTTCTGTATAGTTGACAGGAGTTTAAAAAATCCATTAAAATATTTGTTATTTTTATTCTGCTCTCCGATTTTATATTACTCACGAATTTCAATGTTAAACCGGTGATATTACAATTTCGTATATCCCATCTTTAAGCGGATGTAGAAAAAAACATGTATAATTCTTGTATAATATTAAAAAATTAACTGTTACTTTGGTAGCATCATTTACAACTAAATTTAATGAATGAGAGGGATGCACCAGGTACAGAAAAGGCTCTAGAATTTATTTTCCTTAAATTTACGATTTATGTATCCGTTTGTCATAAAAATTTGTCTTTCCACTTTTTCCCGAGACTACAAATATTCGAGTACAAAGTAACTGGTTTCGACTTATTTCTACTTAAGTAGTAGTTAAATAATTAAGCGATTAGGGAATTGGGGACATAAACAAAAACCTGACGAAAGAGCCGAAATTTTACTTAAACAAAAGCCTAACCGAACCAATCTCTAGTCGAGTACAGTGGGAGTGATTTCTTCGAAATATTAGATGTAATAAAGACAGACATTTTTCCAGTTCAACGAGAGTGACCGAAAAGTTGTAAATTTTGGAAATTTCCGTGGACAACACCTGGTCCTAAAACGATTTAGTTAGAAAACAAACGACAGGCAATCTATT